AGGGGGGCATTGCCTTTGATACATTTTTAGCTTCTTTGTCCCCCCGATAAGGCTTACATATTAGTAATGTACATTCTAACTTGGTATTTTACAGCTCAAGGTTGCAGTGGAGTTACATATGCACACTAAAGACTGGGGGCTCCATTCCTTTCTAACATAAGTCTTTCTAAGAAAGCTCTTATCTTAGGGACTCTTAGTCTTAGAAGGACTCTTTCACTATTCTGGGAAGGCTTTTATCTTGCTATACTAGGAGAACCCTTTCTCTATCCTGGGAAGGCCCTCATTTTATTAGGTTGGAGGGGCTCCCTGCCTCAAGATGATCAAAGTTTGATTTCCTGAATCACACAGTGTATTGCCATACAAAGGAAATATTTTCTTAGGTTCACAATGCCTAAAGAGGGGTAGAAGAACATGAACAAATCATGGGGAAATCACTTGATAGACGAGTTACATCAGTCATATAGCAAGGTAATTCCAAATGTGTTCATCTACTTGCTCAATTAGGATGAAAGCAGGCTTTGGTGGAAAGTAAATTCTAATTAAAGGTTAAGGTGCAGTTTTCAAGAGACTTGACTTGGTCACCACTGCAGGGATCCATGAAGTTCCTATGCAAGAAAACGGTGTCAGTGGTGGTGGGTGAGGCCTCAAAGCCCCTATACTTGTCACAGCCTGAGTTCTGGCTGTTCAAAGAAACGGCCAACACAGGGTAGCCCTGCCATGGCCTAAACTCTCAATGTGCCTGTCAAACCCTTAAATGTATGTCTTTTTTTTAGAAGTCTTTTTTTTTTTTTTAAGTTGAAGTCTCACTCTGTCGCCCAGACTGGAGTGCAGTGGTACGCTCCCCACCACCGCAGCCTTGACCTGCTGGGCTCTGGCGATCCTTCCGCCTCAGCCTTCCAAGTAGCTGGAACTACAGGCGCGCGCTACCACGCCCGGCTAATTTTTGATTTATTGTAGAGATGAGGTCTCGCCAAGTTGCCCAGGCGGGTTCAGGCAAACCCACGGGCTCAGGCAATTCATTCACCTTGGCCTCCCAAAGTGCTGGGATTACAGGCTGAGTCACCGAGCCTGGCCTGATATAATACTTTTTATAATAAATGTATTTAAATTATATAACATGGGGTTTTATAGTTAGGCATGGATCCCAATTAAGGTGTCCTCTGTTACTGTAAAACCCTGGAGAATTTCTATAACCTCACAGACCCTCAGTATCTTCATTCATAATAAGGGGACAATATCTTTCTTACAAGACTGTGGAGAGACTTAAAGTAGACAATTTAAATATAAAACTAAATAAAAGTTGGCTTCTCTCTCCTTATATCTCCCTATTCTCTCTCCATTTCTGAATCCTTCTACCCAGAAGGTTCTAGACAGGTGGTCTGGACTTAAATAAGCAGCAGTCCTATAAAATCCCCTTCTACTATGGTCTCCTGATTGCTCAGAGTGAACTTTTACTTACCTTCTGTCAAAATCTGTTTCAAGAAAGACTGTTTGAAAAAACTCCAAGTCAATTTAGCCTCTGTCCAGTTAACAAAAGCCTAGAAGAGAAATAAAAACACAATAAATAAAAAATTGCAGGCCTTTCAAGTCCAAGAACACAATACTACATGAGAGGCAAACTCATTCTGGTCCCTAAGTCCCAGCTTGGAGAGTCCCCACTGAATTCTCATTCAAGCACACAGAAGGTATCTCACAAGCACAGGGAAAGAATTTACACCTCTAAACATGAAGGCAAGATCTGTAAGGGGCCTGCCCAAAATTCACACTCTGAGACCCCTAAAGAACTGCTGCTGTCCCCTCTGAGGCCACACAGTACACCTCACAGTACACTGACCACATCTAACACATATGGCCCACTGTCAGTTCTTTCCTTAAAAACTGTATACAATAAGCCAAGCTGCAGAATAAATTGTGCTCCATACATAGTACTTCATACTGTAAAGTTGTATTCAACCACTCAAGGCCCTCTTAGTATCCTTGGACTCTATTTTTCTACAAAGTATAGGAGATGTGTATTTCAAAAGAGATGTAGTCTTCCCAGGTCAGGCAAGTCACTCAGAATTGGTATGGCAGAGGAAAGGAAAAAATAAAATTTCTGATACGGCTTTTCTAAAACTCCCAGGGAGCACCAAGTTGCCCATTTCCTAAGGATAAGCAAGCACTTAAGTAGGACAGAATTCAACCTATAAGAGACAGGTGGCCTCAAAGCCAGAGAGCTGACCACAGAGTGAAGGTGTAAGGCAGCCAGGACTTAGTATCCTTGGACTCTATTTTTCTACCTCCAGTAGCTCTCTGGGGCCCTCTCTTCTACCTAGTAAGCACCCTACAATCCTCGAATGTTCAGTCGGTGTTAGTTTCTTCATTCTAGAGTAGTTGCATTTTGAAAAGTTGTGATTACCCAAAGTTATGACTTCTGAATGGTGGGATTTCAGGGGGCTCTTTGGGGAAGAGGGGGATGAATCACAAAGGCCAAGTCCACTCTACCACTCCAAAAGGTCAGCCTCAACTGTGGAAGTCAGCTCAAGGGCAGGTCTGGAACCCACCAGTCACATAGGCCACTGCTCTTGACCCAAAGCCCATCTGTGTAGAGCAACACTATTCAGTAGAAATGTAATGTTAAGGCTAAGTGTCATGGCTCATGCCTGCAATCCCAGCACTTTGGGAGGCAAAGGTGGGAGGATTGCTTGAAGCCAAGCGTTTGAGACCAGCTTAGGCAACATAGCAGGCAACATAGCGGGACTCTGTCTCTACAAAAAAATTAAAAATTGAGCCAGAAGTTTAAGGCCACAATGAGCCATGACTGAGCCACTATACTCCAGCCTGGGTGAACCTATCTCTAAAAAAAAAATAGAATCTTAAATTTTCCGGCAGCCAAAGTGAACAGGAAAAAGAAACGTGAAATTAGTTTTAATATATTTTATTTATATGTTTATATTACCATTATGTTTCTATTAAATATCATAATATATTTATATTATCATTTAAACATGTAGTCAAAGTAAAACTATTTTTTCATATTAAGGCTTTGAAATCCAATGTTTTGTTTTGTTTTTTTTGTATTTATAGCTCATGTCAATGCAGACTAGTCACATTCCAAAATGCTCCATAGTCACCTGTGTCTGGTGGCTACTATCTAGGACAGGGCAAATGTAGTGCACCTCTGAAAGCAAAGATCACTTCTAGACCAATCTCCTTACTCCTTGGTCTAAGCCTGAAACCTCTCAAACTGTGCTGCCTTCAGGGCATCACCGAGGGGAGCAGATACCAATGTAGCTCTAGCCCTGGAGCAACTCTTCCCCAATGAGAAGGAAACTGGGCCACAAGATGTTTAAACAGGTCATCTCTCCTTTCCCCAGAAGAAAGTGCACCAGACACCTTCACACCACTAGAGGGCACTGGGGACCATGTCATCTTCGGCCACCTACTACACAAGTCAGCTTCAGCACCTTCCCTCTAATGTTGCTCCTTGACCCGGTCAGGATATGGTGGACCTCTGAGGGGTCTATGAAACTGTACGTATGCTCATTTTGAAGTGAAAAGCTACAGCTTGTCCATGAGGCTCTCACGAAGCCTACTTGCTATAGGTTATGAACGGATTTGGGAAGATGATTGCGCTCCTTAAAGAGAAAGTTCTTTAGGAGAGTGAAATCCCGACAGTATATCTAATCTGAAAAGTTCTTGCTTGAGGATTCCTTTCTCCTAATGCCTTCAGCTAAGTGGCCTGCGGTTCAGAAGGAATGGCCACACTGCTTGCTAAAGTGTTCATTAAGGACAGAGGCAGGAAGTCCAATCTGGAGAGGGGTTCTTTTCAGAGTCCTGGGCTAAGTGGTAGGAGAGAGGATGCACGCTCTGTGAACTTTTTCTATTCAGAATGGATGCTCAACATGGGCTCACCATGTGGTGTGGTTTCAAGAGGCCTATTTCATAAGAGCTGGATTGGTACTGCTGGCTGGTCTAAATGGATGTGAATTTCTCCAGCATCCCCTAACAAGCCGTTCCACTGTCTCACTGTACTGATGGAAAAACTGAGGCTTGGGTAGGGAAAGGTGATAAACAGTAGCTCATGGGAAGGTCTGGGATCAGAACTCAGGAGCTCACTGTGTTTTCACCTGAGACACTCATTCACTTGCCAAACTCTTCTGACTCAGGATGATCTGATCAGTCACATTGCCACCGCACTGACAAGTCACTCACTGGGGAGTGTGAAGTCACGGTCCTGTCTCTTGCCCTCCGTTACCTCCACCAGTCCACACAGCACTTCCTCCTCTCCCTCTTGCCCCACCTACCCCAGTCATTTCAGGGCTATCGACTCTGCCAGCCTTGTCCATTCTCCCATTTCATCCATTCTCCCTCCCCTGTCCTCATCCTTTCTCACCTGTACAAATACTACAGCCTCCTAATAGGTTTTATTTTTTTCTTCCAGCTTTTTCTCTAGCCCATCCTTCTCTGTAGGTTTGAGTTTTGGAGTTAAGTTTGTAGACTGGGGCTCAAAGTGCAGCTTCTTGACTTATCAGTGCAAAGGCCATGGGTAAGATACTTAACCTTACTAAGCCTTGGTTTTCTCATCTGCAAAATAGGATAAGAAGTCTAATCTCATGGAGCTGGCATGAGAATTGAATGAGAGAAAATGAGACACTATAAATCTGTAACAGATGTCAAGCTCCTCAACACAGACAATTAGATTATGGCCCTGTCCAATAACCTTTCACCAGGCTCCACTGCCCCTGAAGTAAGCTCAAATTCCATGGCACTGAGGCTGCCACCACCTGGTTCCAGCCCTGCAGGTTGGGTTTACCTCCTTTAACAGCCTCCTTCCACCTTTTTTTCCTCTTCTTTCCCCAGCTGTCCATTCAACCCAAGTACCCTAGCCATCTCTGTGTTCCTAATTCCAACACAATAATGGGAACATAATAGGTCCGGAGCAAATGTTCTTCCTTCCTACAGTCTCAAATGCCCATTTCACCATACATACACGTTTCATCTCTGCCCACGCATGTGTCCAGGTCCAGCTCAAAAGCAGCTTCTTCCACAATGTCTTCCTGGATGCTCCCAGATGGAACTGGCTGTCCTTCCTCTGTGATTCTATTTTGTTAACACTAGACACACACACTGTCTTGTTACACAGTAGAATATACATCCTATCTTGCCATCACAATGCAAGTTCGGAGTGCAGGGACCTCACTCAAGACACCTGATGCAGTGCTTAAAATATACTAATGCTTAATACATGGTTGCTGTGTCCAATTCCTCAGCTTTCCTTAAATATTAGCATATCTCTCATACTAAATCCCTCAGAAATGTCAATGAATATAAAAGCCATTATGTAAGGTATTATTAACTTAGTATAAAGCTAAATACATATCTTTAAAGAAGATGGAATTTTATAAGAACAAGAAGGAAAATCTCACAATCAGGCCAAACTGATTTTGAATGCAATTGCTTGATCAGTTTCAAATAAAGGAATCTCCAGTGCAGGAAGTTTCTCTGGGGAGTCAAGTCAGGCATGTTGCCTGTGGCAAAGTCATACACTGCATTCAGATTTATCTCATTTCTTTCCTTTCTCTCTCTCTCTTTTTTCTGAGAGACAGTGTCTTACTCTGTCACCTAGGTTGGAATATAGTGGCTATTCACAGATGTCATCATAGCTCACTGTAGTCTCAAACTCCTGGCTTAAGCAATCCTCCCACCTAGCCTTCCAAGTAGTTGGGACTCTAAGCACATGCTACCATGCCTGGTTAATTTTTAAAAATGTTTTGTCTGTGGAGACAGGGTCTCCCTATGTTGCCCAGGCTGATCTTAAATTCCTGCAATCCTCCCGCCTCAGCCTCTTAAAGTGCTGAGATTATAGGTGTGAGCCACTGCATCTGGCCTCTTTTCTTTTTTTAAAATAATAAACCAGAATGATGAATTGTTCTACGTGGAACTTCCCAGTCTTTAATAAATAGCTATCATGGGTAATAAGCCAATTTCCTTTTGAAGACTATATAACATAGAGGTTAACCACATAGATCAAAGTTAGTCCACAGACAGAAGTTAGAGAGAAGTGGATCCAAAACTAGCTGTGTAATTTTTGGTAGTTACTTAAATACTCTGAACCTCAGTTTTCACATTTGTAAAATGGAGACAACAGTGTTTATCTCATATGGTTACTATAAGGATTAAATGAAAAAAATCCATGTAAAGAGCTTGGTGTAGCACCTGGCACAGAAAACATAGTCAATGGCAGTTATCATAAACGGCTCTTTGTCTGCGTTCAAATGCTTTCATGAAAATCCAGAATTCTTCAGAGGGGGTCTCACAGATCATGTACGCCAGCAATCTCACTCTAAAAATGAAGACCCTGAGGTCTAGGGAGAGTCCTGCAGGCTTCAGATCTATACATGGGGCCTCCCAAATCCATGGAAAACTCCTGAGGCCCAGGAATCAACTCTCTAAATATCTGTACCCTAGATAGCACCAAACATAGGGCTATGCTCTTACTGTTTGTCAGCAGAAATGGTACCACTGTGTATGACAGATAAACACAATCTTCTCATGATCAGGGCTTCTGTCCTGGCAGTATGGGCATGGGCGTTTTCAGGGTAGACTGTTAGATTAAACTACTGAGCTATTACACCAGTGCTACCAGTGTCTGCCTGGTTAGGTGCTCCCTGGAGCCAGCTCTGCTCTCAGAGCAGCAGTGTAGTACTGGTGATATCAGCTGTCACTTAGGGATACCCACTTGTGCCACAAAGTTAAGACCTTATATGCCCCATCTCATCAGGTTCTCAAACAGCCTCAGAAGGGAGGTACTATTATTACCCCCAATTGATAGATAAACTGAAGCTCAGAGTTCTGAGCCCACACAAGGTTTAATAAATACTTGATAGACTCTTTTTATTACCTTCTCTCTTTGTTTATATTAATGGTTCAAATGATCCTTTCCAAAATATCATTGGGGCACAGGGACTGGCCCAGTGTGAAAAGCTTCCAGGTTGGGTACAGGCAGGCACCAGTGAGCACTCAGTGGAGGAGGAACTTTTCTGCGCTCTCAGACCTGCACTGTGGGCAGACAGCTGAAGCCCTGGGCTTGAGAAGTGATCCCAAGTCCTAACTGCTTAAGCCTACAGGTGAGGCACAGTAGTATCCAAAACTATCCTGTGGATTTAGGCCAAAGGTAAGATCTAGTTGATCAGAATAGACAAATGAGAACATACCTGGCTTTGATACACAGTATCAAGTTTTTCTTGAGAAGTTGTATAACAGGATTCCATAAGTGCTAAGACTTAAGTCCCACATACTTTACTACTTTTCAAGTAATCACAAAAGAGGAATAAGGAGAGTCCAGTTGACGCCTTACCACCATATCTGGCAAGCAGGCAAGTATGGAAAGAAGGGAAGGCACCCAGCACAGAGCAGTCACAAGTGCCTGAGCAGAGGCAATGTGGCATATTATCACATATGCAACCCCAGTGCCATGGACATCAGCACTGACGCCACAGGAGCCAGAAAACAAAAGTCCAATGGACTGAGACTGAAGGAGCTGAGTAGAAAAGGTTATGCTTTACCCCACACACCAGCATCTAGAATCCTCAATGGTTTAGATGGGAAAGTGGGTCACCTGAAAGATGAGCCTGATGCCTAGCTAGAGAGATCCTGCAGGGTCGTCCTGCTTTCGCAGAACTCTGGACTGTCTGTGCTAAGGGGCAACTGAGGGAAAACTGAAAGACGCAGCAGAGTAAAGACAGTGAGGTACGGTGGTGAGAGTCTGTGCTCTGCTGGCGTTTCAGCCCCTCTAGGCTCTCATTCTGGCTCCAACCCTCACCTTGGGCAGATATTTATTTGATAAGCCTTAGGTTCTCAGCCCTAAGGTAGAAAGAATGACAGTGTCAGCCTCTCTGAGTTGTTGTAAGCATTAATAAGCCATGTGATTAAATAAATCATGTAAGCATTCAGTGTAGGGACTAGCACAGTAGTTCTCAGCTAGGACAATTTTGCCCCCCAGGGCCATCTGGCAGTGTCTGGAGACATTTTTGGGTGTTATGCTGTGGGGTGGTTGCTGCTGGCTCTAGTAGGTAGAGATCAGAGATGCTGCTAAACATCCTACCAAGCAGAGGGCAGTTTCTACAACAAAGAATTATATACCAAAACATCAACAGTACAAAGACTTAGAAACCCTGGCCTAGCACACAGCAAGTACTCAATAAATATAGCTATAAAATCATTTTTACTATTATAACAATAAAGCAGTTGCAGTTTTTTTCTCTCAAGGATAATCAGTATGTGTGATTAAAATATTAAGAGGCAAAATGTATGACTTACTCCACTTCTGGTGATCTTGGGTAATAGATCCATTACCCTGGAGACAGGAAGAGTGTGTTGCTTGGTTGCTTCTGGGGAACCCAGTAACTTTGTGAAATAAATAACATAACAGAGCACCAGAACTGCTGTATAGAAAAGCTGAAAAAAGAAAATAAGCTATGTTAACATGGACATAATTAAGATATGCCTATAACTCTGGCATCAAAGGCCAAGTTGTCCTTTGACTGTCCTTCTATTGAGCAACACCTCATACTCTGAAAATAGCACTATTTACTCAGACCTAGCTCCACTGCAGCATCTCTATGCAAAAGTTTCCCAAACACTTCACTTAACTGGGAAAACATAAGTTCCTCTGGGTAGGAAGAACACAGTTTCCACAACAGACTCTACTAGCTCAACAGCCACAGCACTGTCTAGTAAGTTCTCATAAGACTTGTATTTGGCCAATGGAACAGCTCTTGCACCTAGATAGCACACTGTGAAATCCACGTGTCCTGACTATGCTAGTATCCATGGACTTGGAAGTTATGTGAATTTCCATAAACCCCGGAAACCTGTGACATTATGACTATAAAGCAGAGCTGCTGGTCCTCTCCACCCAGTGCATGGGCAGGGCGAGAGCTACTACCGGATGAGGGTGGGAAGGGGAATCCACCTCTCCCTCCACCCATCCAGGACAAAAGAATGGCTTTAAGCCAGAAGTAGTCCACCGGTTTTGTTTGCAGGTTGAGGAGGAAAATCCAAGAGTTCCTTTTCACAAGTTCCCTTTGACCTCCTTTCCCTTCTGAGGACAAGAGCACACAATGGCTCAAGAAGGACTAGGACCTCCATGACCCTCTTGCAACCTAACAATACCAAGGCTCCTCTCACAGTAAAGTCCTAAGACAAGAAGAAAGAGGAGTTCAACAGGTGTAGACTCCAGCTCTCCATTCTCAACCATACCTGAGAATGGAACCTTCCATCCATCCTTTTTTCATGCTTCAGCCCTTAAAACACCAGCAACATTGCTGTGAGCCACACCACCTGATGTCAACATCGTCTATGACAAATACCCTTTCACATAAATCATTACTAAGAACCTTAATTTGTTTTTCTACACACTGATGAAAACTACAGGCTGGCCACAGTGGCTCACACCTGTAATCCCAGCACTTTGGGAGGGTGAGGTGAGAAGATTTCTTGAGTCCAGGAGTTCAAGACCAGTCTCAGCAACATAGCAAGGCCCCATCTTTACAAAAAAATTTACAACGAAAACTACAGACTGCTTTGCATTATAAGATGTTCTGCTCTTTAATTTTATTTTTAAAAATAACACTTGTACTCTAATTATATTTGTATTAGAAATAGAATACTAACTAGAATTAGAAAATGATGAGATGGAAATGTAGCCAAAATTGCCAAGACTGACAACATACCTGCTCTGACTTTATCCGTGTCCTCTGAATTATGTGAGATTTCAATCTAAGTTTAAAACAGGCTTAGCAGAGTTTCCTCCTATTCTGCAAACAACTGATTGAAAATCCAGGGGAAACAATGCACGTGTAATTTGATTCTCACCTTTACTGTTTTTTTTCTCCTCCATAAGACTGTCAGACCGTCAAAGACCAGTCTGATACAGGACTGCCCACTGTACATCGAAAAGAGGTTGATGATGTTTGACAACGAAGCCAAGTGTGTTGCCCTTATCAGGTCCCTGGGACACCAGTGGTATTGGTGTATGGGACAGGATGGACCTGGTAGCCAGAGGACGACAACATCAAGACTAGCCTTATAGTACTTCTATTTTTCCCCACGTGCACAGGTATTGCCAATGCAAACCACACAATAGCAGGAACAAGAAGAAAAAAACAGATGGAGAAACATAGATTATATAAAAAGTTAAAAGCCATGACTCCTACCTGGGCCAAAGAGAAAATGTACAGTCCCCAGTGAGGCAACCACAGCACAAGAAAAGCAGTCAGGACACTCTTCAGGATTACTGATAGGCTCTCAGCGATCACCTGCAAACACGTGGTAAAGTTGCACTTGGTAAATATTATCAAAAAGTAAAGATGAAAAGGAATGACAAACAGAAAATTCAGGGTGGTGTTTATCTTGGAGGTGGGTGGGGCACACAGCAAGATACAGTGTTGGTAATGCTTTACTCCTTAGGCAGGGCAGTAGGCTCATGGAGCTTCAGTATATTATGTTTGAGATTGACCTATAATGTGTAGTCTTTTTTTTTTTTTTTTTTTTTTTGAGTCGGAGTCTCACTCTGTTGCCCAAGCTGGAATACAGTGGCACACTCACAGCTACCACATCCCCGACCTACTGGGCTCAGGCGATACTTCCACCTCAATCTTTCAAGCAGCTAGAACTACAGGCACGTGCCAACATGTCCGGCTAATTTTTTGATTTATTGTAGAGATGAGGGCTTGTCAGTTTGCCCAGACTGTCTCGAACTCCTGGGCTCAGGCAACCCTCTCACCTCTGTCTCCCAAAGTGCTGGGATTACAGGTGTGAGCCATCACGCTCAGCTTATATGTAGTCTTTTGTATGTATCAAATAATGTATTTTAAATGATGAAGTTAATATCAGTATACAACTAGATAGAATCACTAGAAAACTGAGAAAACCTTTACAGTTCTCCTAAATTCTGACTTGAACTAAGAACTTCCTTGTTAGCAAACCTGTTTTTCGTTATAGTATAGCAGAGGTAAACTTTAGCCTAGACCATCTGACAAATTTAAGTGAATAAACTTAACTGCTTTGTTACCTTTTTCCAAATACTTTTTTAAATACAAGTTTGGAAAAATCATTGTCTCCTATAAAATTATTTTTTTAAAAATTCTTTCACTTATTCTTCACATTTTCCACTCCCAGCAGAAGGCACACTAACCTTGAGCCTGATGAACATATGTGCTTGTGCCAAGACCCAGAAAGGCTCTCCTAGAAGCTCCACCACTGCTGAGAAACCAAACAGCACCACTCCAGGTCCATAGTGGGGGACGACATTAGGATTGGGTACTTCAAGCAACTGTAACCAGACCCAGCCCAGGAACAAGGACCAAAAGATTCCCAGGGGGACACTGGAAGAGGGAATAAAAACATTTCACTAAATTTTAAATAAATATAAATATACATTAAAATAAATTCAAATATAAATTGAACAGAAAAATGTCATAATAAGAACAGTTACCACCTATTAAGGCACTAAGTACATGCCTGGTACCATGCCCTTTATCTCACTGACATCTCACAATGATCCTCCATCATTCTCTCCATATAAAAGATGAGGAGGTGGGAGGGGGTGAGGGATGAGAAATTACTTAATGGGTACAATGTGCATTACTTGGGTGACAGATACACTAAAATCCCAGGCTTTACCATTGTGCAATATATCAATAACAAAACTGCACTTGTACCCCTTACATTTATTAAAAAAAAAAAAAGATGAGTAAACTGAAGCTGACAAGCACTAGGTAATCTGGCCAAGGCCATAAACAGATAATCAAGAGCAGAAGCAGGAGCCAGTCCCGATCTAACTCCAAAGCCTGCACTCCTGTTCACTGAGTTATACATACTGACTCAATAAGCAAAGTTCCCAGAAAGAAAAGGTCTTTTGTGTGCTTACGTAGAATGACTGATAGACTGTGTACAGCTGGTTCGTGCACCCCAAATAACCAAGAGACCAATGCTCAGTATCCTTTCACATGGGTATCACAGAGCACTTAAATATGACTGAGTGGTTAGCAGTCATTTTTCTAATAAAATGAACACCTACCAGCCATTATGACAGTCATTTCTGTGAGGCAATAAGTAGTTATGCAAGGACAGCATTGGGAAACAACCTCAACCACCAGTACTCCCCCGCCCTCCCACAGGGATCTAGTTGAAGGAAAGCCATTACAATTTTTAGCTGATGTACTAGGTCTTCAAGAATGTTCTAAAAGATTCAGAACTGAAATCACATAACAAATTGAAGAAATATATAATGAAGCCTCTGAGAGGCTTTCAAAAATACTAAGTCTAAGTGGTTGTTAAAAGCTCAAAAGATTTGGTTGGGCTTAGTGGCTTATGCCTGTGATCCCAGCACTTTGGAAGGCCAAGGTAGGAGGATGGTTATAGCCAGGAGTTTTGAGACCAGTCAACATAGTGAGGCTCTATTTCTACAAAAAATTTAAAAATTAGCTGGGTGTGGTGGCATGCACCTATAGTCCCAGTTACTTGGGAGGCTGAGGTGGGAGGACTACTTGAGGCCAGGAGGTTGATGCTGCAACGAGCCATGATCATGTCACTGCACCCCAGTCTGGTGACAGAGTGAGATCCTGTCTGGGGTAAAAAAACAAAAAGATACTATAGGGCAAACACTGTGCACAGGCCAAGTAGGGCCCAGAGTGGTGATTAGAAACAGCATAAACAACCTCCAAAGAGGATGGAACTAGAGCTAGAAAGCTGGCCCAGAAAGCCAAATCCAAAACCTCTTCCTTGTGCCTGGACATCCAGAGAGGAAAGGAACCAAGAAGCTCCTTCAACATAAACACTGTTTCCTTCCTGCCACATGCCTAGTCCCAAGAAACCCACCACAAAACCCAATCTGGAGACATTTCAGCTTTAGGCAGGCGTTGCTGTTTCATTTACAATACTCACTACACTTGCCTTCCTGAAAGCACAACTCACGTTAGCCACAAGAGATTGAGTGTCTGGTTCCAGTCTCTTTGGACGCCCCCACTGAGACATGCTCTGCGGAAGGCCTCTCTGGCCAGGAAAATGGTGGTTGAGTAAAGTAGTGTTAGCCTGAAAAAGAAAAGCAGGAATCAGCAAGGTCTCCAGTTTTTTCATAAAGAGAACTTCTGGGATTTTTCCAGCAACAGGAAGGAGATAAGGTCTTGTCAAAAACCACTGGTAGTAATGCCAAGGACAGTGAGCTCTTATAGGATTCCCCTGAATAAGTTTGAACCATGAGAACAACAGAGTCAAGAACCAAACAAGAGATTCCTGAGTGTGTGTGCCTATAGTTACATGTGGGATAGAAGCTGCTGCAGTGGCCCCCAAAGCCTCCAACCTTTGTAGCTAGAAGCAGAGGTGTGGCCCTGACCACAAGGAAGAGAAAAAGACAAGACTATAATCCCACACAGCAAAGGGACCTCGTGGTCACACTGAGACTAGTAACTTGACAGATCCTGTGAGAAAAACTAAGGCTCTACTGAATGGAGGTTCTGGCCAAAAGAATTTCAAGACAGACAATAAGGCTGACAACCTTACAGAGGCTGCTGCCAAGATGGACTGCAAGATGGGCAAGGCTTGCCTGGGTACACTCTCAGGTGGGCAGTACCTAGGTGAACCCTCCTTCATCTCTTTGGATGTAGGTGAGATTTCCCTTCCTCAACAGGCAGCAGTCTGGATGAAGTCAGAGAGGGGATGGCCTAGGGGTAAGGTCTCTGAGGTTGTCTTAAGGATTAGCCTGCTATCCAATGCCTCTGTCGAACACTGCAAATGAGGAGACAGAACAAAACCTTAAGTAGGAGTGCAGGTCAGACAAGGGTTGTCTAAAGTACAGACCTACTAATCTCAGGAAGGCTGCATGGAGAGAAAAATCCGAATCCCTAATAGGATTCGGCCCACTTCCTTCCTGCCTTTTTTTTTTTTTAAACGATTATTGCCATTTTATAACTTCCATTTTAAAACAGTATTTCTCCAAGTATGGTCTTTGCTTCAAAATCACCTGAGGAGCTTGTAAAATGCAGATTCCTGGGCCCTTCCTCAGCCCTACTAGTGCAAAGCTCCCCACAGGCTTCCTCTGCTCATCGAAGTTTGAGAACTGCCACTAAGCTCTGAGATCAGAGCCAAGAGCATATGTTTGGTAAGTATTAGATATGAAATGCTGTCTAGTACATACTGTCTTGCTTATCAGGACATGAAGACACACCTGAGAAGCTGAGCTATTCTGAGCACGCTCGTCATTTCTTATACATTGTGTAATTTGTGAACACAAAATATGTGTGGGTGTCCTTGAACAGAAAAAGGTAAGTAGAAGAAACAACCTAAGTCTAAACGACAAGCCAACTTTCCAACACCTTCCAAGGAATGCACGACAAGGACTCCAGCTCTCATCCCAGTCACTATATCCCAATTACAAAATCACCAAGGAGGGGAGAAAGGGGCTTCTCCAGTCCTGCAATTATGAAGCACATCCTCACGAACTGCAGAAGTTCTGCCTCCTTTGCTGTCAGAAGGACAAAAACAGGATTATGCCCAAGAGGGGGTTTGCAATGAATTACTCCCACTCTCCTCCTGGGTTCTAAGAGCAGGAAAACCGGAACAGCTGGCAGTGAGATGTGTGTTTGGAGACTGCTAATGGAAAGCACTTCGTGAATCCATTAAAAGCAACATCAACTGCTCATCCCCCACCACTGCACACTTCTCAGTCCTCTGCTAAAACACTCTGCTCCTGGTAAAGGGCCAAGTTTCTAAAACCCGAGGGGGACACACAAGTACAGAGTATGAAGAAAACCTGGCTAGGGATGTGAACTGTGGACAATGTCAGGGTGTGATCCCTCATACCTTACATTCACTACACCAATGATTTCCTTTGATAGGAAGCGAAGAATAAACGCATTCAAGACAAAGGTGATCAATCGAAATAACACCTATAAAAAAAGAAAAATAATAAGAAATTTCGTTAGAAGTGTTTACTTTGCTGAAATGAGAACAATCTGGCTGCTCTTCCTAAGCTGATGTCATGACATACAACAGCTTTGCCATGGAGACTTTCCCCTAAGACACTCAACCTGTCTGCATTTCTTCTGAAATTCCATTCCTTGGGATCTCTCGGCATTCCTATGCAGTGGTCAAAGAAACCCTGAAGGCACTTGGATGTCTCCCTAATTTACTGATGAGAGAAGAGGGAGGTTGGAAAGATTCACTGCATTTCTTTGTTTTGTTTTGTTGTGTTTTTGAGTTGGAGTCTCACTCTGTCGCCCAGACTAGAGTGCAGTGGCACGCTTTTGGCTACCGCAGCCTCGACTGCTGGGCTCTGGAGATCTTTCTGCCTCAGCCTTCTAAGTACCTGGAACTACAGGTGTGTGCTACCACGCTTGGCTAATTTTTTTTATTTATCGTAGAGATGAGGTCTTACTAAGTTGCCCGGGGCGGGGGTGGGGGGGTCTCAAACCTGCGGGCTCGGGCAATCCACTTACCTCAGTCTCCCAAACTGCTGGCATTACAGGCTGAGCCACCAAGCCTGGCTGAATTTCTTAAGGTTCAAAGTCAAGCACTCCAGGAAGAATTCTAGTTAGTGGTTCACTTTGCCTAGCTCCCTGGCTGAAACCTTCCAGCCTGTTTAGAAATAGCACATGCTTGGCAAGTAGAAGACTTCAGGGTACAGCAGATTCAACAGAAACCATGGGGTCTAATTTCTCTTCCTTGGAATCTAGAGATTTTAAGAATGACATTTCTCTTTGGACTTTTGTTTTCTCAATTAGAAAACAGAAAACATATTTCTTTATTAAATACTTGCCCCTTTCCAGAGAGAAGCTGAAATACCTTTTAAACAACAACTGCAATAATAAGATGATATAAAATAGGCCTGGTATGGTGGCTCATGGCTATAATCCTAGTGCTTTGGAAGCCAAGGAGGGAAGACTGCTTGAGACCAGGAGTTCAAGACCAGTCTGGGCAACATAGTAAGACCCTATATCTACAAAAATTAGTTATAAAAAATTAGCCAGGCGTGGTGGTACATGCTTGTAGTCCTAGCTACTCTGAAAGCTGAGGTGGGAGGGACTGCAGGAGTCCAGGAATTCAAAGTTACAATGAGCTATGATTGCACCACTGCACTCCAGCCTGTGTGACAAAGCAATACACTGTCTCAAAAAAAAAAAAAAAAACTTTCACATCTGTAATCATTGCCCCTTAAAAACAACCAAGCACAGTGGCTCAAGCCTGTAATCCCAGCACTTTGGGGGGCCGAGGCAAGAGGATTGTCTGAGCCCAGGAGGTCGAGACCAGCCTGGGCAACTTGGTGAGACCTCATCTCTGCAATAAATCAAGAAAATTAGCTGGGCATGGTAGCACGTGCCTGTAGTTCCAGTTACTTGGAAGGCTGAGAGGCAGAAGGATCGCCAGAGCCCAGCAGGTTGACACTGGGGTGGCCATGAGCATGCCACTGCACTCCAGCCTGGGCAACAGAGACTCTGACTCAAAAAAAACAAAACAAAACAGGTTAATGCTGTGCAAGAAGCAAGTAAAACTCAGTGAAGTAATTTGCCCAATGTCATATAGCAAGCAAATGACCCAGCTTAACCATACAGGTATGCCACCTAACTCCTAGTTCAATGTGTTTTCTGCTACAACTTGTTTTCTTTTTATGAAGCCAAGTTGGGTAGTAAGGTATTATCAAAAGTTGAAAAACCAACATTGTGGATAAAGCACTGAACGCAAACAGGTATTCATGTTATGAAACAGAAAGAATAAAAAAACCTAGGTTAATCTTGGTGGCTCAGCCTGTAATTTAGGGTGAAGAATGCCTAAGGTTTATCAAGCACATATCATATGCAAGGCACACATCTACATGTTTTACGTAGATTATCTCTTTTCATTCCTACATTGACTATTTAAAAAATCCTTTAGTCGGTGTGATGGTGTACTCCTGTAGCCCTAGCTACTCAAAAAGCTAAGGCAGGAGGATCACTTGAGCCCAGGAGTTTGAGGTTGCAGTCAGCTATGTTTGTGTCATTGTACTCTCACTGGGGTGACAGTGAGAACCTGTCTCTAAATAAATAAATAAAACCAAAAAAATCCTTATTATCCTAATAAAAACAGCTAACATTTATTAAGTACTTGTGATGTGCCTGGCACTTAACAGGCATGATTTCATCTAATCTTCCTAACTATTGTTCTCATTTAAGATGAGGAAACTGATGCTCAAAGAAGTCAAGCAATTATTCCAAGGGAGAGCATCTAGCAAGAGACAAGCCTCAAACTCGAGCCCCAGTTGGCTTGGCTCTTTTTCCTAACCTCTAAGTGCCGCTCTAAGATAAAGAGGGTAGATTCAAGCAGTAGGATTGACTGGCTCAAGAGTAACACAAAGATAAACTGAATTGAACCACTTGACATAAAATGGCCAGCTTCTAAGACTGAAAAATCTTTAGACACCATTTAGACTGACTGGCATGTATCATATCGGAAGATGACAAAAATCAGGGCCAAGAAGGGGAAATGACCTATCCAAAGTTACACAAACAGAAGGAAGATACAGTCAACGTTTATTAAGTGTATACTAAGAGCCAGGTACAGTGTTAAGTGCATTTATTTGAATAGTCCCAATGAATCCTTGCAGCAGTCTTATAAACTAGATACTACATATTATAATCCCCATGTTACCAATAAGGAGCTTAGGATCCTCGGTCTCGCAGCAAGTACATGATTCCAATCCAGGCCTGCCTCAGCCCAGATCCTTGTTCTTAGCTATGCTATATGGTCTCTCTGAAGTCAGTGAGAGTCAGAGTTAGAGGAAGGTGTTTGAGGGTCAGGGTAGGGCATGAAAGAAATGAACCCCTTGCCTTAAAAATAAGATTGTCGAACACGAAACACCAATTTCCTCTCCCGGGCACCTGATCTAACCCTCTCCTACTGCCACACGGGAAATATAACGCTCAGAATGAAGTGGCTTGTTTGCAGTCACCCAGTTAAGACTCCGCATGCAGGCTCCCAACTCCGGGTTCAGGCGCCCCTCACTGCCGCTACCGTCTCGGGTCGACTCCCTTTCCCATAGCTGGGTCTGCGTCAGGACTAGTTCAGCTCCGGAGCAGGTTCTCAAGGGCCCCGGCGCCGACTCCCTCCTCCCCCACCGTGAAATCCTGGTTGCAGTACAAGGTGAGGCCTGCCGGGCGGAGAGTACCTGCAGGAGGAGACCGGAGGAGGCCAGCCGGGCCGCCTGGCCCAGCACCTCCTGGCTGCCCATGGCCTCGGCGCCCAGGTTCAGCCACCGGGAAGTGCTGCAGCTGTCTGACTCAGTCGCCAGGCGATGGCGTCACGGAGCGATTCGTTCGCTGATTGGTGGTCTTGAGACAGCGGGGCGGGGCACAAGATGTTCCAGCCCTTTAAGAGGGCCTGGCTTCGGTGGCTGTGTTGCTGTGTCACTGCCTGTTTTCCCTGTTTTGCTGGGTTGTGTGATGTCTATCTATACCTTTCTGTCCCAAGTAAGCGAAATACTGTGGCCAGTACTAAAAGATGCGCCAAAGCCTTTTTTCTGACGCTTTTAACCTCAAACCAAGAAACACGAAATTCCCTGGCCTCATCTGCCATAAGGGGAACAAACTTCTCACTGGCCTAGTTAATAAGACTTTTGCCATTGTCCTTTGCCTACAAATCTTAGCCACAGACCCTTGGGCTTAGACTAGACTGAAATTGTCCCCATTTTAGAGAGAACGAACTGAAGCCCAGAAGTTAAATAACAGCACTTTCACAGGTATAGTTTTGTGAAAAACCTTCTTAAGGTCTGAGAATTGGGCCTTGTTGTCAGAGATGAATAAAGTGAGCCTTGGAGATGTCAAGTAACTTGTTCAAATTTACACAACTTGCTCCCAGGCAGAATGGATCCCAGGCTCCTGATCCTAAACTTGCCACTCTTGCCTGCATGCTAGGAATTGTGAGGGCAAAGTGGAAAAATCTAAAGCACCCAACATACAAAATCAGCTGTTGTTCTGTTGGTGTTCTTATCATCTACTTTACAATCTGTAAGAAGTCCAAACTTTTCTCAATCTCATTCAGGCCTTTCATGATTTGGCCCCGACCTAACCTCTCAGCACCTTTCACATCATCACTGCTCTTTCCTAGGACATTCTAGGCCCTGACCAATGGAACCCTTACCAGTCCTCAAACAGGCCTTATTTCATTGGCTTTAACTCCTGCCACTCTCTTTGTTCAAAATGTCTCCCCTGACACTATCCCTTGCCATCCCAGGACCCATTGTCCTGAAGTTCCTAACTACTCACATGTAGCACTTGCTGTGGACTGAATGTTTGTGTACTCTCAAAATTAGTATGTGGAAACCTAATTCCCAATGTTGAGAACTAAATCTCACCTTCCCCCCCCCCTTATTCAAGTTCCTAACTAAAAGACCTAAGGAGTCATGCCTGATAAGGATTCATTAGAAGGGATTTTATTACCCTATTACCCTGTACACTGAAGTTTGTTTTCCAATCTGACTGTGGCATGACATCACACAACAAATAAAGAAGGAAGTCAGAAAGTCTTTTATAACCCTGCAAAGCTGTCTCTTGGGACTCCTGGACTCTGGGCACCTTGTCCTCTATTGATTTCCAAAATTCCTTAGATAGGAACTACAAATTGCCAGTCAGGAAATTCTTAAATCCACCTATAACTTGTAAGCTTCTGCTTGGAAATGTCTCTCCTTCTTAGGTTGAACCAATAAAACTCATAGGTATTGATTTACGGCTTCTGCCTTCCTAAATTATATATAACCAAGCTACCGTTCAACTACGGCAGACACACTTTCTCAGGACCTCCTGGGGATGTAGGCCACAGGTCTAGGTTCTCAAGTTGGTTCAGAATAAACCATCTTAAAATATTTTAGAGTTTGACATCTTGTCAACAATGTGATGGTATTAGGAGGTGGGGCCTTTGGGAGGTGATTAGGTCATGAGGGTGGAGCCCTCATAACAGGATTAGTGCTCTTATAAAAAGTGTCAAGAGAAAGGTAACTTCTTGCCACGTGAGAATACAGCAAGAAGGTAGCCATCTGCAAACCAGGAAGAGGGCACTCAACAAAAATCTGATTGACTGTCACCTTGATCTTGGACTTTTAGCTTCCGTAACTGTGAAAAACAAATTTCTGTTGTCTAAGCTATGCATTCTAAGGTATTTTGTTACGTAAGGCAGTAACTCCAAAACACTTTATAGCTCTTAGTACTGGACTGCATTACAGTGAAGAGGTTAGAATATTTGTCTTTATCAAATTAGTCCATGAGCTCCAACAGGGTAAAAATGCAGCCTGTTTTTGCATTCTGCAGGAGTGGTGGAAAACATTCCTAGGGCTCCCATAAATATCTCCTGACACATTACTGCTGCTACTGCTGCTGGAAGCAGACTGTGAAACCCATCTTTCTGAGTGAGATAAGCTCTTAGTGTTGGAGGATCAGAATGTAAGGTTTTGACTGTCAGAGAGACCTGGCCTTGAATCTTCATTCTGCCACTCACTAACTGGGTGATCTCAGTATGCTCAATTATTAAATAGGGATATTGTCTGTCCTGTGGGGGTAATCATAAGGATTATGTCAGACATGTTTGGCCCTTGAGAAACTTAAACTCCAGTGGAAAGAAGACTGAACAAAAAAACCTCAATAAGCAAATAATAAAATTTCACATAGACATAAATGCTATAAAAGAATGAAACCAGATAAGGTCATAGAGGCTCTTAGAGGATAGAGAAGGGTGCTGTCCTGGAAGGAGTGAGCCAGGCATCCACGTGGGGAGGAGTGTACTTGAAGAACAGAAAAAGCACTGGAGGGTCAAAGTATTTGGTGTAATGGCTGAGACGCTCAAGGCCTTGACCCAAACAGCCTGCCCACCCCTATGGAATGTGGGCTAGCAGTTGAAATGGACTCCCATTCCCTTTGTCCCCAACCAAGTAGCCTCCTCCTCCATATCTCATCCCTGGAGCAGAACCAGCCAAGAACTCTTCACATTCACACTTTCCTAAACCCGGGCATCCGTGTAGGCTGGTTTGGGAGGGACAAGGGGGTCATTTTCCTGGGGACAAAGAAACCAAAGGGGAAATGATCCAAGTTAAGTTTAAAGGGCAAAACTTGGGGCCCAAGATATGGACTCTGTGGGGCTTCTGGGTGAGGAGTCAGGGGCCTTTAGCTCTTGTTCTGGAAGTTAAAACTTGGCAAGAAGGGACTGAGCAGCTACTGTGTGCCCAGAGACATGTTTATGGGAGGGGGAGAAGAAACTGTGAGGAAAGTCCACATTGCTGACCACAGACTCCATGTTAGGCACACTCATCTGAGCACTGTACATGCATGTGTTAACTCCTTCATCCTCTCAATTACCTATGAGGGAGGTACTGCAGATGAGGAAACTGAGTCACAGGGATGTTAAATAACTCACCCAAGGCCAATGAGCTAAGGAGTGATCAGGGCGGTATTTACACCCAGGTCCTTTCTGACTCCAAATGCTTGAACAGTAATGTTCTTGCCCTCAAAAATGCTTCTAGCTCTAAAGGAGGCCTGAGAGTCCCTATATCTAAGCCACAGAAGTCTTATGTGACACTGAGAGGGTGGTGTCTGGCAGGGCTACAGTGGGGCCTGGAGGCCTCCCTTCCTCCTCAGTAAGCCTCTCCAAAGGCCTTGACTCTATTAGAGGTATTGGCTTGCACACTCCAATGGGCCTGGTACCCTCTGTGGTCTAGCTCGGGACTGGCAAGCAGCGGCCTGCTGGCTATTGTCTGTTTTACATGGCCTATAGCTAATAATAGTGTCCACAAATAGAGTTTTATTGGAACATAGCCACACTCACCTTTTAGTTTACACATTGTTAATAGCTACTTTCTTGCTACAACAGCTGAATAGGCCAATCCACAAAGCTGAAAATATTTACTATCCGGCCCTTCACAGAAAAAGTTTGCCAATTCCTGGTGATCACCACTGAGGCTGAGCACCTGTCACATGGTAAAAATGTCAATATTGATTGAATGCATTCCTGAATGCACTGGAATTCGTCCATTGTAATGAATGAATAATGAAGGACTAGGAAAGGAAGAAAGACAAGTAAATAGGGCTCTTTCCCCGGAGCCACCTCGTTGGGGGAGCAAGTGACTCTTTGAGAATACCAGACTGTAGGTGGTGGCATTGAAAGAGCTCTTTCCCTGGGTTTCCTCCCTGCCTCCTGCCTCTGTGCTAGGTGGCCTGCCTGCCAGGGAAAGCTGACCCAAGCTACCGATTTTATTACAAAGCTAGAGGGGAGCGTTAGGGCCAGTGCCAAGTCGATTAGGCTCCTTGGGCAGAAGGCAGAGAGGGACTGCCAGCAGGTGGGAGGAAGGGTAACCGCTACAGCCAGCTGGGGGCCATGGATCCCAGTTGAGGGAGGCAGGAGAGCTGAGAGTCTGGCACGGTCCCACACACCAGCCACTAGGTGGCAGGTTGTCCAGTATGAGGACCCTGCCCTGCCCTGTCAAGGGTTTCTGCTGCCCAGAGGACCTCTGTCAGGGCTCCTCCAAGATGTAGGACCTCAATGCTCTGTCCACACTCAGAAGTCCCAGCGTGTGAGAACGTGACTGTGATACTAATAGTCCACATTTGCCCTCATAGGCACTGTGCCGGGCTCTTGACTTTCACAATCTCATTTAACTCCCAGAGCAGTCCCACAAGGAAGGCACATTACTATCCCCATTTTATAGACAAGAAAACTGAGGCTCAGCAAAGTTAAGGGACTTCCTTAAGGACTAGTGAATGGCAGTTACCAAATGAGCAGTGTGGTTCTCAGTCCCTTAAACAGATGTAAACCAGAATGTTTATGTTAATGCTGATTTCTGGGCTCCACCTCAGCAGTTCTGGAGTAGGCCCAGGAATCAATATTAACTGCCACTCTAAGAGCTTCTGATATGATGGACTAGGTACCAAGAAACCCTGCTTGCAGGTGGAACTTTAGGCACATTGGCAAAGTGCCTCCTTTGGTGAGCTGGAAGAGTCTGTCTGCCTTAAGCAAGCAAAACAAGATCTGAGATTTGCCCCTGCCCCCAGGCTTGTCCAGTCCTCAAGGGGTCTTGCTCTCGGGGTTGGGCCCAGGGCCAGTGGTAGTGCCTATTGTGAGGACCTTGGAGGATTTTGATGCCAGGAAGGGTACATAGGGCAGCTGCTGAGTCCCAGGGTCTGCCTATGGGTTGGATGGAGCAGCCACAGGCCCCTGGCTTGGCCTGCTCTTCTGGTCATTGATTTGTGCAGATGGAAGAGAGTAACCTGGGATACCCACACATA